GGGGGGGTGGGCAACTCCACAGCTGCCCCTCCTCAAGGCTTGCAATTCATGGAGTTGGCTACCTCTGTGGCCCCTCCAGCTTAGCCCTTTGGGATGCCCTGCTCCAGGTGGAATTGGTTGACTCTCACTTTAGACTTGTGAAAGCACGTTGTGCAACTTCCATGGAACTAACAGGGCAGGGATGGGGGGGGAGGAAGCTTTCCTTCCCTGTAAGAGGCCTTCCCTCTTTGCCCAATGGAGAGTCTTGTTCTCCTGTCTAAAGGCTGTCAAACCTTAAATTTTTCCATGTATGGCAGTGGTTCTCAACCTTTTTAATGCCGCGAACCCCAACCGGTCGTAAGTCGAGGACTAAACCGGTCGTAAGTCGAGGACTACCCAACCGGTTGTAAGTCGAGGACTTTCCCTGCCCGGGAGCGCCGCGCATGCGTGGTTCCGCCCCCTGCGCCGGCCGAGGCGTAGCTGGCAAGCGGCAGAGACGGAGCAGGCCGACCACCAGCTGGCCCAGCCCAAGGGAGGTAAGGCACCCGCCGGAAAAGGGGGGAAAATGGCGGACAAAAAAATGGCAGACAGCCTTGCTTGGTGACCCCCATGAAATGGTCGATCGACCCCAAATGGGGTCCCGACCCACAGGTTAAGAACCACTGATGTATGGGGATGCGGGGGGGGGGGTGCTGTTGTCACACCTTGCCGGCTGGCCTTAGGCTACAAAGAGAAGCCTAGAAATTAGGTAATAAATGATCACTTATGATCAGTTTTGCATCCACCTGGTCCTCAGAACCATGGTTTGCCACTTTTTCAGTCACTATTTTCTGTTTGTTCAGCCCCCTCCCCTTCTGATGAATAAGGGCTGGTGTCAGGGTGCCCTTACCCTACACTGCATCTTGCTTGCTGTCGGCAGCCTGCCATTAAAAGGGGGGAGGGCACTGGGTGTATGAGAGGGAGGGTTGCCAGGTGGTACCATGAGGAAATGAAACCAAGCCTTGGACGTCCCATGAGAAAATCCAGCTGCTTCAAGGACCAGAGAGGACCGCCAGCTGCAGGGACAGGGACAGTTTCCCCAAACAATTTGTTAGCACCTAATTGGGCATTTCTTGATAGTGGGGGGGGGGGGTAGAGAGGGACACGGAAAGGTTAACCATATACTTTGGGCAGAAAACCTCAGATCCAGCTTCGCTTCTTCTGTAACTGTTTGGCTTTTAGTAAAGTATATCTATGGGCCTAAGAGTTTTTCTTTTCTAACTGACCAAGTTGGGACAGCCGACAGCTGGACCCCACAATTTAGCAAAGCACCCCCACATTGTATTACAATCCAAGGCACTGCTTGCACAAGTGAACGGGTCCTCAAACTGCAAAATGAAGCCCGCTAAGCTGGAAGGCTGCAAGGAGACTGAGGCAACCGCTGGCTGCCCTGGGCACTGGATTGGGGGCCGGCTGCAGAGGCTGGCATAGCCCAAGCAGCCACACGGGGGACGCCAGAGGGGCTCGGGGGCCCTGCTTCTTTCGGCTTCCCCCTGCCACCAGGAATCTCCCAAGGCTGTGCTGTTGGGTTGGTTTTTTTTTAAAAAAAACTTTATCAAAATAGAATGTATACATAGCAACAGTCTTGACAGATAGAATTATACCCTCTGAATGTGCGGTTAAGCAGACTTCTTCGGCACCCAGGAGAGTCTGCACACCCAGCTGAAGGTAGGGCTTCCTTGGGCCTTCTGCTGTCAATGAAGCCGCCTTCTCTCAGTCAACATGGTCATCCCGCAGGCAAAGAGAAGGTATCCCAGGAGGAGGAGGAAGGTGCAGGCCGCTGGCCCAAGGCAGAACCAGGAGGCCACGAAGTAAACTATCAGCATGGAGAAGAGAGCCCTGTAGCTGGCCAGAAACCTCAGGCTGACTCTCGGCTGCTGAATCTGCCCCACGTGCCACTTGTTGTGTGGGCTGCGCTGGGCCTTGGTCACCAGGGAGGGGCTGGTAAGGTGGTAGCGGCAGAAACTGCCAAGGAAATCTTCTCTGGCACAGAGCCTCTCCATCTGGCTTCCAAACTAGAAGGGACCAAGGTGAAATGAACACAAGATGAGGGAAATGAGATCCAGCCCTTAAGTCACAGGCGTGAAAGCCAAATGGACGCCACCCTCCCTCAGGGATGGCTAATCACAGAATGTGCTGCCACGGCAAATTGCTTAGACAAAAGAGCAGTCCTAGTCCCCTGTGGCCTTGTCCAACAGGCCACAGACTTCTAGTCCTCATGAGGCGATGCCAGCCTGATCTAGATCTACTCCGGCATCTAGACCCTGCTGGTGAGAAGAGGCCAGTCTGGAGGCGCTCGGAATGTGAAGGCAAAGGGGAGAAGGGCCGCTCGATGGCTTGGGAGCCGAGAGGTTCACTTACGCGTTCGTTAATGGCCAAAGACAGCCGGAAAAACAGACGGACGAGGGTGGTGCTTTCGTAACTTCGGATTGGCTGAAGCTCCGGGTCTCCCTGGTACTCTACCTGGAACCTGCGCAGGCCATTGATGATCTAGTGCGAGAAGGAAAGCCTTGGATCGTGAGACCAAGACACAAAAAGCCAGCCGTTCTGGACCCATCGTCTACTCAGAGAGAACCTGCAGGAGTGCTACTGCAACTCAGCCTTCTGGCTGAGTGAATTAATTACAGCCTCCTCACACACGTTTTTCCTAATTTTTTCAGTGAAATTATTTAAAAAATGACTTTCAGACAAATCTTCCTATAAAGCAACCTCAAATCTCCAAAATAGCCTTACATCGAAGGGCTTAGGTTACTGACCCCCTGCCTCCTCTGACCACGCGTCCTGGAGAACGAGCCTTTCTTTGGGCCAGCCGATCACTGCGAGGCGATCTTCTCTCCCACAGCAAAGCTCTAACTCATCATAATTCAGGATGCTTGTTTTTTTTGTTTTTTTTTTACTATCTCCTGCTTTCTTCACCCTTCAACAGTGTTTTATGTGTGTGCACAGATATCTGTACCAGCAGAAGTGCGAAAACATCTGTTCCAAGAACATAGTGGAAATTGCTATAAACAATAAATTACTAAATGCAGAATAGAGTTGGAAGGGACCTTGGAGATCTTCTAGTTCCAAGCTCCAAGCTAGCTCTCAAGCAGGAAACCCTAGACCATTTCAGACAAATGACTGTCCAATCTTTTCTTAAAAGCCTCCAGTGATGGAGCGCCCACAACTTCTGGAGACAAGCAGTTCCACTTGTTCTGTCAGGAAATTCTTCCTTAGTTCTAAGTTGGTTCTCTCCTTGTTTAGTTTCCATGCATTGTTTCTTGTCTTGCCTTCTGGTGCTTTGGAAAATAGATTGACCCTCTTCTTTGTGGCAGCCCCTCAAATATTGAAACACTGCTCTCATATCACCCCTAGTCCTTTTTACTAGACCAGACGTAGCCAGTTCCTGCAACCTTTCTTCACATGTTTTAGCTTTTTCTAAAATCTCAGCATCTTTTTCATATCACGGTGACCAAAACTGGATGCAGCATTCCAAGTGTGGCCTTACCAAGGCTTTGTAACCCAGTACTAACACTTAATGTGATCCCGATTCCATCCCTCTGTTAATGCAGCTTAGGACCACCCTAGCCCCGTTGCATCTGTGGCTATGCTCCAGAACACCTTTACTGTCTAACTAAACTACTAGCTGTTTCTGAGGGTGTTATTAAACATGTGGATAAAGAGGAGCTACTAGACATCATTGACTTAAATTTTCAAAAAGCCTTTAATAAAGATTCTCATCTTCCCAGGAAGCGTAACAGCCATGGAAGACAACGGCAGGTAAGCAAGTGGCTGGTGACTAGCAAACCAAGAGAGGGACAAATGGACATTTTGAATGGCGCCTTTTAACCTTTCACAAATTACTTGGAGTGGCCAAGTTTGTTGATGAAGCTAAATTGTTTAGGGTGGTAAAAACAATAAGGGACCACGAAGAGCTCCATGTTGGAAAGTGGAAGTCAAAATGGCAGATGTCAGGCAAGTGTAAAGTGATACATGTTGGTGCCCAAAATCCCAGCTAGTCTTCCAAACTGATGGGATCGGAACTAGGAGTGAACGATGAGATCTCAGAGCAACAGTAAACACTTCAGTGAAGGTGCTGATCCAGGGGTGCGTCTGCTGTCAGAAAAGCCCCCCCCCCAATGGGAGGGATAAGAAACAGCTGCAAGCAGAAAGTCACAATGGCCTTGCAGGAATCCCTGGTGCAGCGTGTCTGGAATACTGTGTGTGCGGTTGTGGTTGCCGCAGCTCAGAAGGGGTTTGGTAGAGTGAGAGAAGGCCGAGAGGAGTAGAATTAAGGAGATCAAGGGGTGGAGCAGCTTTCCTAGAAGGAAAGGCTCTGACATTGGGCTTTTGAGTCCCGAAAGGAGGTGAAGGAGAGGAGATATGAGGTGTACATGGTGGATAAAGGGGAGAAGCTACGTTCACTTCCTAGAGGTCACCCAATGACGTGGAATCCTGGAAGAAGCAGGACAGTCCAAAACAGAGAAGGAAGTGGGAGGGGAACTGCACTTTCTCACTTGCAACATTCTGTTAATGTAACCTTACAACCAAGTAGAATTATCTGACCTGGTAATCTTTCCTGCCTGGTCTACCTGGTAAGGCTCTGCAGGTGATGGTCCACTGGGAGAACAGCCTGCTGTCGATCAGGGCCCTGCTTATATTCTTATGTGCACTGCTACTTTGCGCAACTTCCTGAGCAGGTCACTGGCCTACCTGGTATCTCCCAAGCGGTGTGAGCATTAGCCCATTTTCGCCCTCAATGCAGTCTGGCAGCAACTTCTTCCCGTTCTCCTCTGGTGCCCCTCCCCTGCTCAGGATCAGCTGGCTCAGCTGGGCTTCGTTCAACTGGCAAAAATTGAAACAAGACACCCCTATCTATGACACATTCATTGCATTGTTACATGAGAAAATGTGAGAGGCCTCTGAACGCAAGGCTTAATGGTTCTCACATCAGTCCTCTTTGAATTGTAAAACCAACCATCATCTCAGGATTTGGGGAATTTGGACCCTGACTCAATGGAAAGGTTACCACACATCATTCTCTCTTTAGAACAGCCCCCCCCCATCTTTTGGGCACCAGGGACCGGTTCCGTGGAAAAAGGTTTTTCCGTGGACCAGAGACTGCGTGGTTTTGTGTGCTACCTGCATCCCACACATGGTACCAGTCCAGGGACTGGGGACCCAGCTCTAGAAAATATATCCTGGTAACTGTAAAGGTGTTCTTTTCTCAAAATCCCTTAATTAAAGTGAAAAAGCTGCCAGAAAAACAGCCTCCAACTGCGGCTGGGCTGCTTGAGCCAGCTGCAGCCTGTGTCCATGGCCTGGCGAAGCCACTTGCAGAGAAGGGGCAGCCCTCCCCCTCCCAGGATGGGCCAGGAAAGCCAAGGCAGCACAGAAGCCTCAGAGGTCTCCTGTTCCGCTGACCTCTCCAGCCCGGACCTGTCCAGGGATGCCCACAAACCCAGGGCTAGAACAGGCGAGCCTGGGCCACCCCGAGGCCAGGAGCTGAGCTGGATTCGCAGCACTGACCGGGGCTGTAGCCAGAGCCTGAAGAGCTCCGATTCCTACCCGGAATATCTGGCATAAATACTCCAGGGCTTTCTCCAGGTATTCATCCGTTTTCCTTATACTCTCTTGCCCCATGTCGTCCATGTCGTTCCCCAGGTAGGAGCCGTTCAGGTCGCTCGAGCCAAACCAGAGCCAGGAGAGGAAGGAGTGGCCGGGGCCGGCCTCCGCCGAGCGGTCCGAGAGGGCTCTGGCCGACTGCTGGGCCTGGCCGATTAGCTGGGCTAGTCGCAGCACCTGGACAGGAGAGCAGCAGAGCCAGGGCAGCTGAGGAGACGGCCGGCCTCAGGCCCAGCAAAGAGCAAGGGAGCCCCCCCCCCTTCAGTAGGAAACCGGGACGCAGCACCTCTTCCCAAACAACCAGTTGAAGCAATGATTCATTTCAGTATGTCTTCATCTATTATTATTATTATTATTATTATTATTATTATTATTATTATTATTCATTGAATTTATTTGCTGCCCATCTCGCCATGGGGCTACTCTGGGCGGCTTACAAAAAAACAGGAAAAAAAATGTAAAAATAACAATAGCAAAGGAATAAAACAATAAAAGTGAACTGGAAGTGCAATAATATGAAATTAAAGGACGGGGGGGGGAGCAGGGGGGAGGTGGGGTCCCCCAGGCCTTCAGGCTCCTCCAGAAGGTCGGGGGGGGAGGGCAGGATGCCCCAGAGGGCGACATTGCAGCAGAGCAGGCTCTTCTCCTGCATCCCGGCATCCTTGGCTTCCTCTGCCGGCAGGGAGCAGGGCAGGCCTGTCTCAGCGGACGAGAGGTTCACCCAGTCATCTGGCGCTGTGCCGGGGGGGGGGGCCTTTGGTGCCGGAGGGCCACGGTTCTATCGTGGGAGGGGCTTCCCCGTCCGCTCAGCAGCGCCAACCAACCTACCAGGTTCCTGACCTCTGTCCCAAACATCTGCTTGTACTGGAAGTCCTGTCCTTCGAGGCAGAAGACGTGGCTCTTCACTTTAAAGGAGGCGTCTGTGATGGTGGGAGCCCGGCCTGACAGGAAGCTGCCTCCCAGCGAGGGGCTGAGGAAGAGGCGGTGCTGGCGGGGGGGGAGGCTCAGATCGGCCTCCAGGAAGAGTTGCTCTGCTGCAGAGAGAGATGGGGACGGCCGGACGGCCTCAGGCCTGGGCAAGCGCCTTCTGGCCGCCATGAAAGGGGGCTGCTTCCGAGCACCAAGGAGCTGGCGGGGGCTCAAGCTCTCGCTTGGCACTCTGGGGTACCCACTGACCCAAAAAGGGTCTAGAACAGTGATGGCAAACCTTTTAGAGACCGAGTGCCCAAAAACTGGCCCCGCCCCCGCTCCACCCTCTGCCCCGCCCCCACCCTGCCTGCCCGCAAGGCCACTCATCGCCTCCAGGGCCCGCTCCTCCCCCAGCAGCACCATGGCAGCCACGGCCTCTGCCCATGCCCCGCAGCATCAACTGTGCGCAATGGGGCGTGAGGGCAGAATCTTGTCCTTGACTGAACTGCTCTGCGTGGGCCACGCTCGGGGGCGACTCTTCTCCAGGAGGGCTGCTGGTGAGGAGGGTGTCACGGGGGGAGGCAAGGCTGGGGCAATGACACGTGTGCCCACAGAGAGGGCTCCGAGTGCCCCCTCTGGCACCCGGGCCATAGGTTCGCCACTACTGGTCTAGAAGAGCCCCCAAAGTGCCCTCCCCCAAGGCTGCACCCACAGAGAAGGTGGGCTGGGGGTGTTTCTTTACCTCTCTGGATCATCTCAGCCAGGTGGGGCTGAGCAAAAACCTTGGCCACCCTGAACACCATCAGGGCATTCTTGGGGCTGACCAGGTCTGTGCGGAGAGCTCGGTTCAGAAAGCTGACAAAGAGCTTCGTGTACAACAGCAGGTTCTCCTGGACAAAAGGCTCCCTTTAAGAAAACAGCCAGCGGAGGGCATGGTCAGTCAGAGAAGAGAGTCTCTCTCCTGCCCGGGTCAGAGACACCCAGGACAATCAGCTCCAGCAAACCTGGGTTACAGCATGTGTGGCACCTCCTGGCACTGGAGAGAAGACTGGGCACCTGAAAAGTTGACCAAGGCTGCAGAAAGACCCTCACACCAGAGGGACATTTCCATGGGCCCCCAATGCCCCCATGTAAGCAGCAACGGCCAGGGCTGGAGAGAAGAGGGGCCAGGAAAACACCCCAATTCCCCCCTGCCCCACACGCTCATGCTGGGACTTGAAAAGTCAGCTGCAGTCAAACCCACTGCTGCCTCCAGCCCCCTTGAATGAGCTCACCCAGGCAGCCGCTGGAGGGCCAGCCCCTGCACACACACACCCTCCCTCCTCTACCCAACCTGCCCTGTGCCTGGAGCAAAGGCAGCTGGCCAGATCTGCAGGGGCCCCAAGGACCCCAGCCCAGGACACACCATTTCTCCGACACACTACGAAGCAGGGCCTCTGCGCTTGGCGGTTGTTTCTCCGGTGCATATCTCCAAGGCTGTAAGTAGCTTAACCACATTTCCAGAACCTGCAGGAATAAATGTAGTGTTTAAATACATGTCTGCACTTAAAACTTTCTTCATCAACCGTGTTGCAAACTTATGGTTAAGGATACCAACATCCATCCCACAGAGTGGATGGGGGCGACGAGGTAGACCAGGTGTGAACACCAAAAGTAGTTACGGATCCTGAAACCAGTTTTATTACATGTGGAGTTATGGTAATATGGAACGAGACAACTCACCATGGCCAACTCACCACAGGACAATTCAACAATGCAATTTAATTATTTAAAATAATTTAAAAAATATTTTAATTTTTATCATTCCGTTTCATTTTGTCCCTCCTTTAGCATCCTTTCTTTAATGATTCTATTCCATCATTTCTTCAACATTCAACTTGCCCCACGGCAAGCTGGCCATGCGCTTTGTCCTGGACCCCTGGAAATAGAGCCTTGGACTTTGGATGTGCCCCCTTCCTCCGCTGCCTTTACCCTAAAGAGAACGAAGGAGATCCAGTGAAATGCATTCCCCAACTTCCTGCTTTGGCCCACGATTCCTCCCCTCTGTTGTCTTTCTCCTCTTCCTCAGGGTTACCCTCACAGCCCATTACAACTGCCTTGTGTCAGATGATTATCTCATTGTAGTAAACCAGGCTCTTGAAAATCATTTGAATATGTCGATACCTTGTTCAGTTATATTCCCAACATTGGAATTTATCTCTCTGTTAATGAATTTGGACTTACTATACCTACAGAATGGCTAAAAAGGCTGTCAAGGGTCCCTGGAAACCCAAGTGTTCACTTTGAAAATGACGCTGTGAACTCTGCGTTTTAAGGGACACTTTGCTAATGTAAAGACTCCACACCGTCCTTCTGTAGGGTCAAGATTTAATTAACTGTTTAAATCTGGGTTGTAAATTTTATATGCCATAATTGTTATTGCATTTACTTGGGTCCCTTTTTTGTTTTGTTCACTGTTGTTAACTGCATTTTCAAGAGTAATTTCTCTCATTCCATCATCTTAACTTCCAATACAAAACTTGCTAGTTTTCTCTTTTTTTGGCCCTTTCAATTATATTATAGATCACATATTATTACTTTAATGAATAATCAGCTGATATTATGTAATTTAATAATTCCTCTTTATGTGATAAATATCAGTAACTATCCTATTCATTATTAGTATTATTATGTAGAATAATTTATCTGTAGAAGGTAAGAGTGAGATTTTTAATAATCTTGAGATTTTTTTAAGCACTGCTATTATTTTACTGACTGAGGCTGTGCAACTTGATCCTTCTTTACAAGACGTGGTAGGACTTCCAAGACTTCCTACAAATTAGCACTACTAATTCCATCAATGCTCTGAAATTCAAATTCTCACCCTGAAAGGATGAATACAAGCACAACCAACGCCCAAAGGGTACCTACGGCTCTGAAAGACGCATCCAGAGGCCAGTGACCAAAGCAGTGCTGAAGGAATATGTAGAGTTTCTGCTGAACAAACCGAGGGATCACAATCCTGCAAAGACATCCCACAAAGTTAGCCAATGGTCCCTATAAGAAAAAAAGCACTTTGTCCCAATTAAATGCGATGCTGAGGAGACAGCTATGCTCCATACATACAAAACCTGTTCAACTTACATGACAACTTTCTACAAGTACCATAATTGACATCGTACACAGAAAGTGTAAGGCCTGTTGTAAATAGCACAGGAAACAGTGATCCCAGTTAGAGCAGTGGTCCCCAGCCTTTTGGGCACCAGGGACCGGTTCCATGGAGAAAGGTTCTTCCACAGACCGGAGGGGGCGTGGTTTCGGATGCTGCCTGCATCCCGTGGATGGGACTTCACTTGTTTGTGCGGACCAGTTGCTGGCATGCTGCGGACCGGTGCCGGTCCACGGACCAGGGGTTGGGGACCTCTGAGTTAGAGGAAGGAAGATTCCAATTGAATGTTAGACACAATTTCCTTAAGTGTTAAGGCGGTTTGACAAGGAACCAACTACCCCAAAAGGTGGAGGGCCCCCTCCTTTGCCGGAGGCATTCTAGCAGCAACTGGACAGTCAACTGCCTGGAGGGCTTTAATTGGGATTGTTCTAGTGACTCGAGGCCTCAGTGCCTCCTGCCAACTCTGATTTCCTGCCAAGCCATCTGAGCAAGTATCTTAAGAGGCTAGTTGAAAGCTCCAGTTCCACAGTTCCTGGGGGAAAAAACAAACCAAAATGTTCTACTTAACCTTTTGGTTTATGCTGAAAATTTCAGGGGGTAAAGGAAGTTGGAAAAGAGAGCTTTGGGGGTGATCTTTTTCTTCTCTTCAAAGAGCAGAATTGAGTTTTGCTGAATACTGAATCAGGGAGCTGCTACTTTAGACAATCGGCTCAAGACGATACCAGGACGAGAATTCCTTCACAGCTTCCAGAGCCCAGAATTTCCTCAGCCCAGAGACCAGTTCTTAAGACTTCTTAGACTAAAGAACCCAACAAGCTCCCAACCAAGTTGTTATGCCCAGGCAGTTTGATTTAGACCAGAGATCTTTCACGTGTCAATATCTTGTAGAGTAGCCACACGCACCCCACCCCTCATCTTACATGCTTCAGACAAAATACACCCAATAAGTTCCCATTTTTGGTTCGCTTCCAGAATCCCTGAAATTTGTTCCTCCAATCTGTCTACATTTTCTGTGGCATCCAAAACTGGACACAGCATCCCAGAAGTTTGACCACAGGAAAGCCAAATAAAAGGAATACATCCTGTCTCTTATTTATAGCAATATGACATCCTAATATATTATTATTATAGTTGTTCTTGTTGTTGATTTAGTCTTCAATTCGATTCACAGTCTGGGACTGGTAAAAACTTAACAAGCACCTAAGAGCTATTCTTATTGTTGTTATTAATTTTCAGGTTCAGGTTCAACTTGCAGTAAATTTTTATTTTTCAAAATGACTTTTTTCCTGAAATTAAGGCAAAACATTTCCTAAAACTGCTAAATTAATAATGCACACAAAATAGGTAAAGTGGACTGGCTGCACTGAAATAAACTATGCTTGCTGAAGTACGGAGTATTTTAGCTGCCACATTGTTAAGCTCATTTGCCACCACCACTGAAGAAGAGGCAGTACAGAACACAGTGTTATTTTGTTGAATTTACACATTTTTTATTCAAGGCTCAGGAAAATCAGTGTTTCTAGCCCAGCGTTTCTCAACCTCGGCAGCTTGAAGATAGGTGGACTACAACTGCCAGAATTCCCCTGCCAGCCTAGCGAGGTTGAGAAACACTGTTCTAGCCAACCCCCACCCCCCACCCCCACCCCACCAAACCCAGGTTTCATTTTCTGTGTTAAGTACAGACCTTTTGAATTCCTCTAGTGGACTGGCGGTGTGGGAATGCCCTGAAGGAGAAATTGGTTCTGACTTTACGCTGTTGCTGAAGGTGTGTAGGTGTTTCAGAAGCAACCGGATAACCAAGACGTGTTCCTCGGTGGGTTTGAAGGACTCCTAGATTGAAAGCAACAGCAGAAGACAAAGACAAAGAAAATGAAGAAGAAGGAGAGAAGTAAAGTTAGGTCCCCATCACAAAGGAAGTCCAGAAGAGGCACAGAAAAGGCACCTGAACCAAGAACATGTACACACGCACACTTGAACCTCATCTAGGGCCAACTGATTCCATGGCTCAGAAGTGAAATACACTTGACAACTTGAGCTCGGAAAGCAAAATTGGTTGCTACTAACGAGGGAGCAATTAAAGTGGTTGTTCAAGGGAGAGTGGATTTGGCCAGCTCTCTCTACTTCCTGGACACCCGAGCCCCAGTGGATGAATAGAGAAGGGGGGGTGGTGTCACTGGGAAGGACCAAATACGATCTCCGTAGAGCAAATACAAGTAGGGAGGACACGTCTCCTCACAAGCGCTTTCTCTCGGCTCTCACCCGCCTTCTATGTGAACATGAGCTGGGGCAGCCGATGATAAGGGGGAACATGGCTCAAAGCACCTCACGCAAAAGACCCCCATCCTCCCTGCTGCTCCTTGGGCCCTTGGGATTCTGCCAATTAGCAGAAGCCAACTGACTGAATTCATTTGGATACCTTCTCGTGGATCAAAATATTGTACCTACAAACTATTTTTAGGAGGGGAAATTTACCATGTGAGGAATTCACACAAATTGGGGGGGGGGGGTGTTGAACAATAGTTCATGCAGAAGAACTTATCTGGGTCAGATAAGTTCAGGCTTGTAGATTACTGCTATCATATCACCCTAACACACAGGAAGTTTGAGACAGACCTTTTCTTTTAAATACAAAGCCAAGATGCAAAATGTTATCAAACCATCCCTAGAACACTTATGGGCCAACAGGGTGAAGAGACTTCAAAATCTAAAAAAATATTCTGCATGAATCAAAGTGGCCCTATCAGCATAAGAACCAGTTTGGTCTAAGAGCAGGAGACGGTGAGTTCAAGTCCCGCCTTAGGCAAGATAGCCGGGGGACTTTAGGCCAGTCACTCCTTCTGAGCCCAACTCACCTCACAGGGTTGTTGTGGGGGAAACAGGAGGGGGAAGGGGTATTTGATATATTAGCCACCTTGAATTATTTATAAAAATATGGAAGACGGGATAAAAATTAAAAAAAAAAGCATAAATTCATTACGACTGTGGTGGAAGGGTAATCATAGGGCACATCATAGGGCTTTTTGACTTGAGCTACCAGACCATCTCCGTGATTCAAATCACATAGAACAGATGCTAAACAGTCTGGATCACTGCTAACTTGCCACCTCTCGATTGGGGCACATCACAAGGAGGGCTGATGGCCTTTTCCCACCCACCTCTGAGCCGCAGGGACTCAGGCAGAATGAATAAAAGGCCCCCAGCACTTGGAATGGCTGGGCCAAAACGAATTTGGTTTGATTTTGGCTCAGCAGGAGTGTGAAAGAGCTATGTGGCAGGTGAGGGGACAGAGCCCCCTCATAAATCAGAACTCACGGTACAGAGTGATAGGTAAAATGCTCTTTCTCAAGAGAACCATTAATCTCTTGGCCACAGATGTTACAAAGAAAGAACTAAAGGATGCAGAAAATCTGATCCCAGCAGGACTGGCTGTGCAGAACTCATTCACAGGGATTCCTCCTCAATTGATTGAGAGGAGTTTTACTAGTGAGCAGCTGATTTTGGCTAGAAGTGAGCTGGTATCCCTCCTGAGGATGCATCTCTCAAACCCAGAGGCCCGAGGCGCTCGCCTTCTCTTCCCTGGAGCATCGAAGGACATGGGCACGTGGAGCCTTCAGCAAAGCCAAGACCGGCAGGGCCCATTTCTTAGGTCTGAGCTTCTCCTTAGCTGCGGTGACTCCAGAGACTTCTTGCTGTGGCTGGGCTGCCGCCTCCACGCTGCCCCAATTCTCCTGGCCTTTAATCGTGCCGGGTGGTTATCTAACACCACGGCAGCAATTATCAGTGCAGTGGGGGCTGAAGACCTGGGCCACCGTCTCAGGCTCCCCAGAGTCCCTGGAGAGCTAGCCCCAGTGGGGAAAGGGGAGAGTTATTTACCTCCTTTCTGCCCTGCAGCTTTTATGTGCTTCCATTTCAACCGGTGTTTTGTTTAAAATACAAAGAAAATGAAATGAAATGAAAAGATGGAAATACTTGGTATGTATGGAGAGCCTGGTGGCTGGATTGGGCAGGATGGATGCTGGATAAAGAGAGCCGGTAGTGGAGAACCTCCAGCTGAGAGACAACAGAAGGAGGGAGGGAGGGAGGGAGGGAGGGAGGGAGAGGGAGAGGGAGAGAGAGAGACAGAGAGAGAGAGAGAGAGAGAGAGAGAGGAAAAAGGAAAGAAACAAAAAACAAAACAAAACAGTGAGAACGGACCCAGGAAGATGGGGATGAAAGACAAGGTCCCAGAGAGTCAACCATCACAATGCCACAGCCCTGTGGCAGCTGTGCCTGCAGAAGAGCGCCCTATGACACACCCCATGTTTCTACCATAACCAGCCCTAACCAAGTTCTGTCCACCTGTTCAATTTGCACTGTCCTTGCCTAGAAGTTAATTCTGGCTCGCTTCCTGACTCTGAATATTCAAGAAAGAAGGAAGGAGGTCTCTGGAGGTCACATATGAAGGTGGGTTTTCTTGGTGGGATTGGAAAAATCACTGGATCCCTCCAAGGACTTCTTGCAAGAGAAAATGCATCAACAATAATGTGAAGCCACATTTCAGTTAACCATGTCGCTTCATCTGAAGTCTTCCTTAGCAACAAATCAGAATCTGTCAGTTTGACTTGGTTCTGTTCATACGAAGGCTTGCTGCTGCGGCTGTTTAAAATCTGACCCCAATAAAACAGAGGGTGTGTTGGTTCAGGATAGAGTGGTCTGCTGCAGCTGTTCTCCTTCTGCACATTTCTTCCCCTGCCTCCGTAGTTTCCCCGCCCGTTAAACTATACGCATCTCAGGGCACACATGATATGATGTGAAAAAGTAACACAGAACACTCCAGAAAGGCTTAATTTGAACCAAAGAGCTTTCAGATCTTTTCTATCCAGAGCTCTTGCCCAATATTTTATTATTTTCAGGTCCAGAACTGGCAAGTCCTACAGACCACAGATAAGTGCTCCCTGCCACCAAGGGTGGACTTCTCATAGGTTATCCAGTTCTGGAAGGAACCCAGGATGGGAGAGAAAAGCACTGCTCTGTTCACAGGAGGTCGCCTGAGGTTGTAGGCTGTGCTATGGCAAGGAGTTAGCAGCCAGCTCAGGCATTTCCCCCCTGCATATAAAATTGTGGTCCCGTCACCTAGAAATACTCTGAAAATGAGGAAACCAAGTACCAAAATTACTGCACAGAACTTTCACACATAGTAAAAAACCCAGATATTTCACTTTTGCAGAAACAAACCTATGTCCATCTGATGGCTCATTTGTCCCCTCCACCTCGCCCACCCAAACCAGTCAGAGCTTTTCTGCACCTCCAGCTGTTCACCTCCAACTTATGAGGATCAGCAGCATTTAAGAATTCAGCAAATTAAACTCTCAAGTGCCAACAGGATGCAGAAGGGCATCAGCAGAACCCACCAGAGTGGCAAACAAGCATGGTGCTCACAGGAGGGGGGGGGGAGAGAAGAGTTCTCAAGGAAAGGAACCACCCAAGAAGATAAACTCTGGGAAAAGTCTATTGGCCGCTATTGAAAAGAAAGAAAGAAAGAAGCAAACCAATCAATCAATCAATCCCCTGATCTGCTTGTGGACTCCATCCTTACTGCAAGTCCGTCTCTGTTGGAGGGAAGAGGCCAAAAACTGGGTTCCGTTGCCAACTCCCAGCCGGGACCCATAGAAATGAAGTGGACCTTTCTGGGATTCTGAGCTGGCAGATCATGTAAATGACGCCGGCCTCCCAGAGCAGCAGGGCCGCCAGTCAGGACAGGCAGCAGGGGACTGAAGCCGGAGCAGCAGAAATAACAAGCAAAACAAACGGCTGCCGCCAGCTGAAGCCGCTGACGAGGCGGTACTGCCACTCCAGGCGCAGAAGAGAAGCGGGTCTTCCAAAAGCTCCCCTTTACTTAGCAAGGGGTCAGCCAGAGGCCCATAAGAGGGCACCAAGGACCTCAAAGCCTCCAACCAGGCAGCCCTCCGGTTCCTCCAGCTAAGTCATCTCCCTCTTTCAGGAGGCAGGGAGACGGTCCAGCGGGGCTCAGCCGCTAAGGAGCTTCACTGAGAGCGCGCCTTTCCAAGGGAGCCCTGATCCAGCTCTCCTCCATTTAACAACACCAACACCAGGGCAAGACGCACAACAGGAACTGTGCTTCCAGTGGCCTCTGCTGGCTGGGAAACCCTGGGAGTGAGGAACAAGGTGAGACTCCAAAGAATTCTGTATTTCTGGGAGTATTTCAACATGTTTGATGAAAACATTCTGAGATCTAAAATGTTAGAACAGCTGCTCTAAGCTTTGTTGCTGTTATATGGATCGAGAGAGAGAGAGAGAAAGAGAGAGAGAGAGAGAGAGATCCATGCTCTCAGCCTCCATTGCAGGTTATGGATAAGAAGATGGAGCTGTGTGGATTATTACAAGGGCTGATCATGCTGAATCCTGAAGGGCAAGGGAAATTCTGTTTCTTATTAGCAAGAAAGAGGAAAATGTTGCTGTTATGTCAGGAAACCTGGAGGCAATTCCATTTGCCAGGCTTTCACTGAGCAATCCTGTTTTAACTCAAACTTAATAGAAAGATCACAGAGGTTCCACACTGTCCAATTCCTGCATCAGGTTAGCTTGCAATTCCCAAGCCTCTTCACAGTTGTCCAAATACTGGATTGGCACTAGTGGGTCCGTCTCACCAGCCTTTATCTAGCCCAGGGTTAGGGTTGCATGAAAAGGCTGAGCGGTAACCACACTGGCCCTGCCTGCACTCCCCAATTCTAATGGCTACGCAAAGTCCAATGAGATCAAAGGAGGCCCACATCTGTCAGACCCAAGGCCAGCGCTCTTCCCCATGGTCAAGCAGCTGCCTCTGGAGAGCCCAACAGGACTGCCAGAGGGCTGCTGCCAGTCAGAAAGGCCTCCTCCCCCCATGACTTTGTAGGGCCTCTTTTGAAACCCATTTGCCAGCAAGAGCTTCTGGCAGGGAACTCCAGTGGTTACAGCAGCCAAAGCCCTTCCTCTGAGCCATCCATGCCACCCAGCCTTACCAAATCATTTCCTAATTCCAGGAAAACCTCCACCTTTTCCAACTCCTTAAGTCCTCATGAAGGTGGCCGCTGTTTATCACCCCACTGCAGAGAGGAGCTCCCTCCATTCCCTGCCTCTGCCCAGCTCTGGCAGCTCCTTCCCCCCCCCAAAGGAAGCACCGTCCCTCTGCTTACCTTGACGTGAGGAGACTGCATCTTCTGATACGTGTCCAGCGAATAGTGGTGGAGCCACATCTCCACGAAGACCTGAGGAAGAAGGCACTCAATCAGGGGCCAAAGGGAACCCCAAAACGAGCCACTCAGGGAGGGACAAGGAGGGACCCATCTGCCAGATCATTCCCCATCTCTCCAAGGGTATGATTGTTTATTCCATTATTAATCATACAATTTAAGGCACACTTCAGCTCTTATGCAAGTATGCAACATGTGCCACTAAGATCTTTTTTTTACCTTTTTTACCACTATAGGTATTAATTATCTGCCCTAATAAGCTGAACCATACCCCCTCAAAATATATTGACTGAAGGATAGCTGTGTTTCAATTCCGCTATCGAGGGGCCCCCGTTCGACTAAGATCAGCTCCCCACGAAGGAGCAAAGGGCCTCTCAGCTCCAGAAGAAATGCTGCATAAGCAGCCGCAGGGCCCCCTTCCAAGGCCCAGGCGCAGCCGCTGCCAGAGGATGGCTCTCTCCACTCGTCAACGAAGGAGCCCTCCCCGCTGCTGCCAAGCTGGAGCGCAGCAGCTCTTGAGGGCACAAGTTCCTGCCAGCCACACACCTGAAGCAGCGTTTCAGACCTCCAGATCTCTTGGGAAGCAGGGTCTGCATTCACCGAAGTCTGGTGAGCGACGTGCCTTTTCAGAAGACTGGTGGGATGCATCCCATAGGAGGTGAAAGGCATCGTGGGAGAGCTTTGAAAAGGAGAAGGCCACGTCAAAAGAGAGAACCCAGACACGCCAGCAGAAGGGCGTGCAAGGCCGGAGCAAGCCAGCCGTTTCTCAGTGTGCAGCCTGAAACCTGATCGGGACAGCTCTTCTGACACGGAGGAGCAGAGCAGCCTCCACTTTTGCCCTCTGAAGAATATACTCCTTTTTGCTCCCTTTTTTAAAGTAAACGCTTCACTAAATATCTAGTCAGCATTACTGAAAAAGGCCAAAAAGGGCAATGTTTTTAGTGTGCTGCTAAGTCACTGTTTCTTGAATACATTTTAGTCAATTAATTTATTATTTGCAGAAAATGAAAACAGGAACTATTTCAGAAATTGCATTTTGTAGCACTGTTCCTGCTGCTGCCACTTATTAGATTCTATCCTACCTGTATTACTTTATTGGTAACTTAAGGCGACAAACATACACAATACACTTGCTACACGTGGCAATTTGCCAACTGTTAGCATCCCAGCTTATAAATTCCTGGCATCCTGAAAAGCCACTGGAGGCTTTTTCTTTGCAGACTCCTAATTTGCAACTGCTTCCACATATTCCCCCCATCCCACCTCCCAGAACTGCCTTTTCTACTGCTGCAACCAGCAGAGGAGGAGAGCAGGACAGCAAACACCCACCGGGGAGCAGGTGAAGGGACCACCCCTCCAGGCTCTGAGGAAGGGATGGGAGGGACACTCCCTTCTATGGGCAAGAACCACTTCAAGTACCGGTCCACCAGGATGAAGTAAGCGCTGTTTGACATGCTGATGGGACAGGTGGTGGAGAGGCTCTGGAGCACAAACAGAAAGAGTCATCTTAGGGTTTCACAGTCCAATCTACAGGAAGCCAAGACTTCAACTCAAGATGCTTAAAGCTTCCTTGCCACCTAGGAAAGGTCAGATAACTTTCCATCTGGAGCAACAAGCCACTATTTCATCCCCATACAGCCTAAAATGGCACACTGCACACACAAGCTTATTACCCCATCTGGTATTCACGAACAACCACCAAATGGCAACTTTGGCAAACGGCAGGCCAGTGCTAAAAGTGATCAACTCCTGCAGATTAACAAAAATGCAAACTTTCCTTTGATGAGCAGAAGAATTGGTTCAAACTGGAAACCCCACAAAGGGTTTGGATGAGCAATGGAACAATAACAGACCTGAATGGCACAGATAGATGCAATATTTCCAGCACTTTAAAACAGTGGTTGCCAATCTTTCCAGCTCCCGCAAAGGTGGGGGTGGGGGTGGGGAAGGGATGGGTTTGCGTGCACGCCTGCCACTTGCACAACCCAGTTCCCAGCAGGCCACGAACCAGTACCTGGCTGCAGACCGGGCGTTGGGGACCCCTGCTTTAGAAAAGACATACTGACTTTCCACAAGGAAGTAGAGCTGACCTAATAACAAAGTGGCTTAAAAGCCCCAGGGGGTAAATAAACAGCACTTCAGCTTCCTCTCCCTTCCTTTCTTACGTCAACAAGAAGAGTGGCCTTACCAAGGAAAGCCAAGGTGTACTCACCCTCTGGGTCAGGAGGCTGATGGCAAAGTAGAACATGTAATATTCATATGGATCTGGCAGGAGAGAGTCAAGGGGGCAACTTCTTCCAAGCAAGAAGGAAAAGCAGGCTGGCTGCTGTTTTATTTGGCCCTAAGACTCCCTGACCCCAGTTTTACACAGTCCCTCAGATTATGACGACTTCCTTCGTAGCACAAAGATTCCCACGCAACTTAAGTAGCAGGAGGAACCTCCAAGAGTGTCGATCTTGCTTGCCACACCTTGACTCACGGGAAAGCTCATGGCTTGCAAGCTGCACCCACCCAAAGAATTTCCTCCCCATGAAAGCAGGGAAGGGTTAGGGTTCGTTCAGTGGGGAGCCAGAGCTAGTGGCCTCACAGCAGGCAACGCAACTGTAATGGCCTTCTCTAACGTGACAACACAGGGGTTTGCAAGCTGCTGCAAACACAGGACAGTTCTACATTCTTCCTTTATCAGGAGAGCAGGCAGCCATCTCTTCAATGCATTAGCAGGTGGTTAGCAAGAGATCAAGAAAGCACGATATAAACCAGGGGTGTCAAACTGCCGGCCTGTGGGCTGGACGCGTCATCCGGAAGCCGCGCCCACCCCATTACTGGCAATGGCAAAACCGTTCCGATACATTGCGCGACGTCACGAGTTTGACATGTCCGATATAAATGTATAAACATTATAAACTTAGAAAAAATTAAGCGCTAAACATTTGCCAAGATTGCTATAGAACATGGGTGTCAAACTCGCCGCGTCACGTGACGTGACTTTTTCCACATTGCTGGAGCTGGGGTGGCCGCAGCCTCTGCATGATGCAACTGGCCTGCGGGCCGGCAGTTTGACACCCCTGCTGTAGAATAATCCCTTTTCCCTTCCAATAAATCGGGTTAAAGGAACTGTGGGGAATTGCTTTGTGCTTAAAAGCAGCTGCCAATTGTCTTCCTGGTCACAGCATGCAACTACCTTGTCTGCAAGCTGCATCCTTGGAAGAGCAAAGGGGCTGCTGAGCTCCATGGTCAAAGCAGCAGCGAGAGCAGCATGGCGCCCAATCTGATGGTGCCAGCCAAGTGTAGGTGTCAGGGGAGAAAGGGGGTGGCTTCTCTTCCTGCTGCTCCCTCCAGCCCCTCTCTGATAATCACCTCACTCACTCATCGCTCTGCAGGGAAACCCCTCCACACTCACAAGGCCAAAGGATACTAAGAATCAAGTTCAAACTCAGGCCCCCAGTGGGAGAAAACTGGACTTTGTTGTGATATAAAGAACATTCTGGTAAAATCCGTTCTTGAATTGAAGTTTTCACTGGGCCCTGAAAGGGTAGGTAAACAATGACATGTCTCATAAGATGCAACATAATGAAAACACATCAAATATAGACTAAGAATTGCCCTTAATTGTACTGGTAGTCCTCAGTTAACGACGGTAATTGAGACCAGTATTTCTACCGCTAGGCAAACCAAAGCACAATGTCAGGTGACCACATCACTTACTGACAGCAATCCCAGCAATTCCTGTTGCCAATCGTATCCCACTGGTTGTTAGGTGAGGACCAAACCAATCCTACCATTCCCGGGGTGGTCCCTCCGAGCCCAGAGCCTTGGGAAGGGATGGGACTGCCTCCTCCTGAATTCCCCTACCCCTTATCCTCCTCCCTCCCCCCGCATCTCTGCCCTTTTGGCTGCCCTGCACAGTATCACGGTTCAGCCACGGTGACTGTGCCAGCGTTGGAATAGCGGCCCAGGGGCAGCTGCAGCTGGCCGAGGCTGCTGAAGGCCCCGGGCTGCGACTTCAGCCCCCAGTACCACTGGCATCACCACTTCTGCCAAGTGGCACTGTGCAGGGTGGCCAAAAGGGGGCTGGGAGAAAGGTAGGTGGGGGGAGTTGAAGAGCAACTCAGAAAGTTCATAGCCAAGTAGAATTTCCATGCAAGGAATTAAGACTGCTAAGCTCTGCACTGAGTTCAAAGTCCCTCTCATGTCACCTCCTTTCCAGACACTAACGGGAAGGTAGGAGACGGGGAACTCATGTCTGTATTCCTCAGCTTGCAGCTTGTAGACCAACTTCATCATTGGGCCTCTGCAAAGGAAGGAAGGAAGAAAAGAAAAAAGTTAATGAAGCACCCTGGGGTTCTCCCATAGCGAGCTTTGTTTTTATGTTGTTATTCTTTGACGTGAACGTTTAAGATTTAAGATTTTAAGATTTAAGATTTATTTCATTTATACCCCGCCCTTCTCCCGGAGGACTCAGGGCGGCTTACAGCCAGTTAAAACAATTATACAAAATACAAATCTAAGATAAATTAAAAATAAATATTCGAATCGGCCGCACTACTAAAATTCAATTAAAACCAATTTAAAATTACCCCTAGGCCAGTCCTGCCCGCTGGAACAACCAGGTCTTAAGGGCGCGGCGGAAGGAGGGGAGATCCGG